ATGTAATTACCATTAATCCATTCTGGCGTGGAGTACAGGGAGGAGGCTATTGCTTGGAGGGAGAGTCCCCCTCCCTACAACCATGTGTCAGGGGCGGAAAATGGCTGCGGACCACGTGTCAGGGACAGAAAAATGGCCACGGACCGTGTCACAGGAGGGAAAATGGTCGTGTATCCTGTTCATATCCCAAGGCGGAGTTCTCAAACTGAGGTAAGTTTTGCGGCTGGAGCTGGTCGTAACCCGAAAAGTTCGTTAACAGAGGCATTCGTAACCCGAGGTACCACTGTATATTCCAGATAAAGACAAAACTTGCTCCAGACCTCTGGTCTCCAAAGGTACTGCAGTCCTAATGTACTGCATCGTGCTGAGGAGGGGGAGGAGTAATTTCTCGACGTTTAGCCCTATCGAAGGTGTGTTCTTTGAACTTCAGGGAAAAGAGCTTAAAGAATAATTAAACATTATGTCTGTATCATCTAAGACTGATTGTGCCATGAGGAAAAGCTGGAGTCTCTCAATTTCCCACCAAGGTCCTATGGAAATAAATTTTCACTTTTGCTTCTTTAAGAGGAAGCCTAAGGGGGTTAGACTACTACTTAGACCTCAAAAGACCTCAGGTTTTTAGGGTTAGATCTTAGTTTGGCTCTTAAGCATCACATTGTCTTAAAGTAAATGATTGGTGGTGGTGCATTATTGATTCTTATTTTTATTTATTTATCTATTGGTGCACAATAAAACCTTGTTTTAAAGGATTAGGGTTAGAGTTACCAGACTTTAGGTGCAATGGACAAAATTTGCATCCAGACATTCCCTGAAATAAAGACTAAATCCACTGTATATGAAATAATCTGAACAGTTCACTTAAACTGTTTCCATCATTTTCCATCATTTGTGCCCTATTATTAAGTACACAAATGCTGTTATTTATGTAATTTGCAGTAATTTGTGTCATTGCATAAGTACATAATTATGCAAATGACATAAACTGGCCTAAATTGATGCAGAGAATATAAAGTTGGATTTAATGGATATTTGGGAGTAACAAACACCCCATCTCTCAGTGGTCCATTCAAGTGAGGTTTTACTTTATTATTAGTTCACAGCAGTTGAAAACAAGATAGCATGAAAAAACTGCACTTTGGTAAAAGTAAAAAATTAATTTGATTGCAAAACATCCTGCAAAAGAAAAAGAAAATAATCTAACTGGCAAATCCTTCATTGAATTAACATCCCCAGACACAAGCATTTTCAAAACTTATTGAAAAAAACAAAACACCTTGTTTAGTTAAGTCAAGAAGATTTTTAAATGAAGTGAAAATGAAAATAAGAAAGAAAGAAAGAAAGAAAGAAAGAAAGAAAGAAAGAAAGAAAGAAAGAAAGAAAGAAAGAAAGAAAGAAAGAAAGAAAGAAAATAATGTTTTATTTTTAAAATGCAGTTGTTCTCTCTGGCACTCACCTGTTTCAAGATTCGATGCTCATCAGAAGCAAACATCATTTTGTGTTGAGCAATGCATGTCCTTGAATAGTCTTCAATGGATGATTCTGGGAAATCCGTTATGGGAAGTACCTGGAATGCAGATCAAAACCACAACATGCTCTTTCGCATCAGATTAGTTAGCACTTTTGACTGCACTGTTGTTTAACATGACTGCATAGAATTGTCAGGCTTTCTCTCATGAATGCTTGGAACTGTACACCAAAAAGCATACATCCATCACTAGAAATTTAATAACATGTAGCTGTGGCTGTCTTATCTTTTTCTCACAGAGGACATGAGTAGTCTAAATTAGTGTTTCTCAATCTTGGCAACTTTAAGTATTCTGACTGGGGAATTCTGGGAGTTGATGTCCACACATTTTAAAGCTGCCATGGTTGAGAAACACTGGTCTAAATGATTGCATGCAAAGTTAAAAGATGCTTTTGGTCAGAGGTCTATTTGCATGTAGAAGTTTCCAGATTTGATCCCCAGCATCTTTCAGTGGGGCTAGAAAAATTTCTCTCTGAAACACTGGAGTCTGCTCCAGTCAGAGTTGGGAATGCTGAGCTAGATGAATCAATAGTATGACTTGCTATGAAACATCTGTATGGGAAAACCCTATAGAGGGCTAGAGAGACCCCTTTTGGGGGTGGTTTAGTAGATTCCTGAGCTGAACAAGGGATTGGAATGATCAATAAGAGCACTTCTAGTTCATACAGTCTACATTCATTATCTTCCAATATTCTTTTATACATATTGGTAGTCCTCATTTAGTGACTGCCTTGTTTAGTGACCGTTCGCAGTTACGGCAGTGACGAAAAATAACTTTACAACCAATCCTCAAATTTATGACCTTTGCAGTCTGTGAAGCAAAGGAAAGCTGAAGGAAGATCATAAGCACAGTTGCAATTTCATTTAGCAATTTGCTTTGCTTAACGACCAAATTGCTGGTTCCAATTGTGGTCGCTAAACAAGGACTACCTGAATATTCTTCCAATAATCATTGCATACACATATGTGGCAGTAAATGTCTTACCAAGTTATACTCATCACTAAGTATTTTTCTTCCAGTTACTTCCTGCCAATGGTAAAATGGAAGGTCAGAAACCTTCTCTGCTGTGTGTTCTAAAATATTGTTCTTCCTAATGGTGAAAAAAGGTTGTATTTGCTTGTTAAGATGCTAATTTACAGGCAAAACAGACTGAGTACATATTAATAAGTCCTAGAAGATAAGATACCACTTTAATCTCATTTATATCTACCAAAAGTCTCTCTAGATTTTATAGACATGTTGCCAGATAAGTGTAGACAGAAATACCCTCTTGGGCTATAATCCCTAATTCAATTACTATGCAGTAAAACTCGTTGAATTTAAAGGTTAGGGTTAAGGGGATTATTTCTGAGTAAATAATGTTTAGTAAACAAACATTCAACTTGCATTCTGAATCCATTCCACAATACATTTGGTTAACTGCCTGGATACATTTTGTTCTGGAAGGAATTTTCCTCCAGTGATTCAAAGTGAGGCGAATAAGGAAAAAAATTATATTCCAGATTCAACTGGGGCATATCCAAGGAGGGATGCTAAAAAGTTAGTGCTGACAAAACTAAGCCACGTGGTTTAGTACTAGGCAGGTTCCCCATTCCTACAGAAAAAACACTAAACATAAACCCTAATCCACAAAATAACAGTATGTTTAAACATTTTCATGTGTGTCACAGGGAGCACCATCCAGGGAAATGAGGGGTAGAAATGGATCTGGGATGGATGAAGAGGAAGGAAAAGCCCCATCTCCATGACAACCATCAAGAGCAAATGAGTAGATGGATGAGAAGCAGAAGAAGGCACCCCCTTCATTCCAGCCTGGTTGACTGAAGGCACTTTTTCCACAGGCCTGCTAAAATATTCCTATCTTGTTTGTTTCAGTCATTTAGGAAATTAGCAGCCTCTTAATATTTAGCAGACTAGTAAAACTAAAATGTAGGTGAATACATTTTCTCTTCTGTATCCATAAGGCTGTATTGCAACTGGCTTGGGAAAAAGAAAAGTAAAACCAGTTGTTTCTTAAAGTATCAGGACATATCCTCTAGAGCTGCTTGAATAGGAGGCATACAAATTCATTTTTAAAAATTGACTTCAAGCATCGTGCAAGCTCAACATTTAAACATGCATCCCCCCCGCTCTCTCTCTATATATGTATATCTATACATGACATATATGACATACTGTATGTCACATGTCATGACATACATATATGTCAGAGGGAGGAGGGCTTCAAGCCAATCTTCACTTGTGATAACTACATGCACGAATCCTTGCAGTTTTCTTGGCAACATTTTCAGAAGTGGTTTTCCATTGCCTGCTCCCAAGGGCTAAGAAAGAGTGACTGGCCCTAAATCACTCCTGTGGCTTTGTACCTAAGGCAGGGCTAGAACTCACAGTCTTCCTGTTTATACCCTGTCTTTAACCACTACACCACTCATGCCAATACTATCAACTATACTCTTTTCAGTTTTTCAACTATACTCTTTCAGTTTCCTGAAAGAGAAATCTCTTTTATTTTTTCCAAATAAGAAAATTCCATAGGTAGAAAAGAAAAAGGTTAGCTTAGCATAGTTATAAGATGGTTGAGATGTGCTTGTAAGTATCTTGTCTTCTACAGTGGTGTAGGCTTTCACAGCTGGCATCAGTGAACCACTGATCAGGGGCCTACCTAGACAAGAAACCAGTCAAGAACCAGCTTTCTTGGACTCCTATGACATGGACCAATCAGAGACCAGCTTGCCAGGTTCAAATACAAAAGCCCAGTCAGCCTAGTTTAGTTGTCTGTGAGCTGCCAACAGGTGCTCCACAAAACAACTCACTCTGCCTCTGAAGGTGCCAGCCACAGCTACTGGTCAAACATCAAGACAAAAGAGAACTAGACCACAGCCATTCAGCCTGAAAGTTCATCACTGCTTCATTATGCTGTCTTTCATTACACAATAACGTCTCCAGTGATCTGCAGCCTCCCTGGCTTCTCATGTTAAATTAAATTGAAAGAAAAGATACCATGAGCAAGCTCCTCCCATGGTCTTTTGTAAATAAGAAAGCAGCACCAGCCAGGGAGGGAGAGAGGAAGGGGAAGAGAGGGGTGATAAGTAGCATCCTTTGCACCTTCCACCAATAAAATATACTAAAAAAAATCTCACTGGGGAAAAAAAACTCTAAAGGAATTTTAAAGCACACTAAGAATAAAGTAAGCCTCCTTCCCAGGAGAAGAAGCTTGCAGGAAATTGGAGGACAGATTTTGGAACAAAATACATCTGAGAATGTTTCAAGAAGCATATTGAAAGCATGCTGTGTTGGGAAATTTTGGAACCAGAATTGCATCTTTGGGATCCTGTGCAATTCCTTTTATACTGTTTAAGATGAGCATTTCAAAGCAAATTTTGGATCTAAAGCTTTGCCTCTTTAAAGCTGCAGACCTATCGACTGCAAAAGGATGTGCTTTGTCCCCCTTGGCTAGCTCATGGGGAATGGGGGAATCACAAGTGGCTGAACAGCTATAGAATGTGCAGAAGAAGGCAGGTGCAGGAAGCCTGGGGTGAAGACCACAGCTCAGGAGGACGACATCTGTCATATTATCAGGAAAAAAAATCTTGGTTGTCTGGGCTAGAGTCCCAAGCTGACTATGTCCAGGTGAGAGGTGCAAAAGGACCATTCTGGGAGAAAAAGAAGGCAAAAAGCAGGCAAAGTAAGCAGCCAATCAGAAGAGCCAGATGCAGAAAAGAGGACTGGCAGCCTGGACACCAAAGGATGAACAGAACAGTGCTTTGGGCAAGGGCACGGAAGGCCTTCTCACACTGCTGAGCACCAGACATGTGGGCCCACCCCAGCTTCTTTGCCTCCTGCACCTGCATCTGCAATCCACCCCTGTTTGGGACTGGCCCTTTAACTGGAATGACATCTTGGTAATCTGCCTGAATTCTTTTTCTATAGAGTGTTTTATTTATTTGTGGCCAATACATTTTGTTCATGATATTATTGCACCCTGATGGTAGCTGCCTGGCAGAAACAGATGGAATTCATGTTGGTCTCTGATCTTTGATCCTCAGTCTGCCCAGGGGTGTCTGCAGTGATGGTCCCCGGCTGCAAAGTTGCAGCTGCAACTGGAAGATCAAAACTCCACCCCTTTTCATGCGCCTGCAATGGGTGTGACATACATCATAAAGAGGAGGGGTTTTGATCAGAACTGCCAGTTTGGAGCCAGTGACCAACATTGCAGAGGCTCTGCCATAAAAAGAGGAGACTGTCTTTAGGAAACTTTCCAATGCCTGTGATCTATATGTGATTTTGTTTGTGGCTGTGAGAATGCAAGTGTCTCAAAAACAGTGGTTAAGATAAGATCAAAATTTATATTAAAGTGGCCTTAGACAAACACATGAATAATTGAATGTCATAAACTGGGATCTTTTCCTAGTAGCAAATTACATCTGCGAAGTACTCTGTAGTAAATAAACCTAAGGGTTTATTAGCTGCTGCACAGATCAGGAGCTGAGTAGTACCCCTAGCCTTAACAATTGTCAAGGCTTTTATATGGCAGAAGGGAGGAAGTATGTATGTAAGAAGCTATGAAATTGTTTTTCTGTTCCACTTGTGTCAAAATATATATAGCCTGAAATCTCATGCATCAAAGTATCCATGGTGGTGGTGGTCATATTGAGGAATATATTACTGGGAATAAAACTAGAAGTATGGCCCCTACAGGCATGCTTACACATACTTTTCCCTCCATGTGAACAAAGAGACTTATAACATTATTCCTTCCTTTGCTTTACAGCTTACCATGTGATTGAAAGTTCAGTATGATATAGCAACATGCCTTTCCCATTGCAACTGTAACACATGAGCCACCCATTGCTACGACAACTGAAGCAACTGTGAAAGAGAGATCAACATTAGAATTAGTCCCTGTGATATTATAAATCTCCCTCTCTCAGCAAACAATGGGTTGAATATTATCATCATTATCACCATAATTTTATTTCACTCATAAACTAGCATAAAATAATGAAAAACTAAATTTACCACCAGTAATTATACCAGTTTAGACCATAAAATACAAAAACTAACTAAGGTATTAGCATTAATATCACAAACATCTATCATTATTAAATATTAATAAGACTACGTAGAAGAGAGAAGATGCATTATAAAATATGAAGTGTTATAAATACTGATAGGAATAGAAGATAAAAATACTGCTGAATAGAAGCAATCTAAGCCATAAAATGTAAGAAATAACTAAAGCTCAGCATTACTAACAAAACTATAAACATTATAACTCTTTGTTGTCAGTGTAAAGACCCACCTTCTTTTCTATTAGCAAGAACATCAAAATCTCTAATGAGGACTTATGGGTTCTAAATGGGAATTAGTTCAGTTATTTAAATCCCTGTAACCCCTATCACTTTCTTTTCAATAAATCTTACAAAAGAGAAATCTGTAATAATTATGCTAAGAAAGAAACACTTTCAGTTTTAGATAGCTGCCAAAGAACCTGATAAATATGGCGCACATGCTGGGTTCATACAATGGCCAATCTTGTTTATAAAGTCCAGTGCTATCTGCACCTCTGGATCAGAAACAATCAAATATTTCCTGCTAAATGTCAGGCCCTTTCCATCTGTAGCGTTTAAAAGAGCCTCTTGCCAAAAATGCCCACTGATCATTTGATTTCAACCCCTGCTGTCTGCTTTCTCATGCAGTTGCCATACTGATTCAGCAAATTCCCCAGGTGAAAGTTAGCCCTCAAGTGAATCAGCTTCACGAGGACACAATATATTCATTACATTTTCCCAAACCAAGGTGATAGTCCTCCTTATCTGCAACAGCAGCAAAGGTGCAAGGTGTATATGCAAGGTGCATATGGTCTGCCTGAGGCAAATGAGGGCCTATGCCTGATTGTCTCCTTCTATATACAGTTTGGAAACAGTTCATAGCAGGTCTGTCCAAATTAATTTTGTTTCCAATCCGACCATCCAGCAGCTGTGTCAAAATAAAAGCAGGTGGGGATATCTTTCCCATGCTAGGTTTCAATATTAGTTACCTGCAGGAATCCCCACAACTACAAGGTGATGTCACTTTTGACACCAGGATTGTCCTTTATAAACTATCTTGAGACCCTAAAAAATAATTCATTTATGGTAGATATATTGCAGTCCTTTGTCTTCTGGGCAAATAGAACGTCTTACTCCCTGCTTCCATTCTTTCTGGTCCTTTATTGCCACATATAAGGAATCATTATTCCTAGTCCACTGATTAGAATCACATTTCACTATAGGAATGTTAGTGCAAGTGATCTACTTTCATGGGGAAAGAAAATGAGGAGAAACCAGTTTGGCCTAGTGGCTAACACCCCAGGCTAGAAAGCAGGAGACGGTGAGTTCTAGTCCCGCCTTGAGCATGAAAGTCAGTGGGTGGTTTTGGGTGAGTCATTCCCTCAGCTCAACTCACCTCATGGGGTTGTTGTTGTGGGGAAAATTGGAGGAGGAAGGAGTATTAGGTATGTTCGCCACCTTAAGTTATTTATAAAAATAATAAAGGCAGGATAAAAAAATCTAAAAAAAAAACACGAATGCTAGATGATATAGATCTTAAAAATATATAAAACCACTAATTTATCTTTTCTGAAAGACCTAGATGAGATATGACCATCCAATAAAAGTTTATCATGAAAACTATTACAGGAATAGAAATGAAGTTTTGATTGGAGCAAAGCTTACCGGTTGTCTCCTGTACCCAAACACCACGAGCAGGCATTGTCTTCTGCTGAATTCAACCCACTCCCATTACAAATGGAACACTTTTTCTATATTTGAAGAAATGCAATGCAATTTTTATTTCATTTTTTTAAAAAACAACAACAACTATGTTTCATGTTATTTTGGTGGTTTACAATAAAAGCCATCAAACCTGAGTTAAGACCAGTAAAATTCAAATCTGCACCAAAAGTAAACAAAATAAAATCTATTTTGGAATGGGTATTTTATGGCCTTTCAGATAGGCAGCCAAGAAGCCAACCCCCTCAGTTAAACTTCCACTCTGAGAGATATGCTGGTTTTCAGATGGCTTATGGTTTCAGCGCCCATACATCCTTTATTATAAAGGACAGACCTTTATTTCAGAAAGCTGTCCTTTAGATTTATTCATTTTTCAAAAACTCACTTTCGTCCTTTATTTTGGTCATTTAACTTTTACCATACAAATGGTACCACTTAATGCACAGTCTTTCCCATTTATGGGAAAAATATGGAGATTGAATTGTCTTTTTAAAATAAATTTACATAAGTTGATTTTAGATATTTTTATTAGAATATGTGTTTTTCTAAAGGCTTTTCTTGGTTTTGCTCTTGCATTTTCCTTTGCAAAGCAGTTATAAACATATACAATTAAAAAATTTTATCCTTATGAACTTCTTTCAGATTTGCCCCTTTTTCAGGATTGTCCTTTATTTTTTCCAAGAAAATATGGTCACTGGACTTATGGTACAATTCAAGGTGCTGGCTGTCATCTTTAAAGGCCTTCATGATTTAGGGCCTGGCTCTCTGCGGGGTCTTCTTCTCCCAGTAACATCACCCTGCCCAGTAATTTCAAGGAAACTGGGCTGTTTCTGGATCTCATCTCCCAGGGACTGCTATCTACAGGGAAGGCACAGATTGGCAGCAGACCTTTTCCATTGCTCACACATAGCCCTCCTCTGGAATAGCTTGCTTCCAGACAACCCTTCTGGCTTTTAGAAAGTCCATTAAAGATGGCTGTTCCATCAGGCCACCAGGGCTGGGAAGTTATGATTGGCCCCTGTTTGTGAAATGGCCTTTTAATTTTTGGTCCATTGAGTATGATATGTCTGGTTTTTCATTTCATTTTTTTTCTTTTTGCTCCCCATGGTTATTATTTATAATGTAATTTTGTTTTAATCTAAATTTACAAAGATGGGGAATTATATACTGCTCAGAGCTGGCTTCAGTTGAGGCAGCCAATAATCCTTCTAAATAAATACGTTCTGTGTTTTCCACCAATGTCACCTCAGCTGCCTTCTTATTCACATCATCAGCCACAGTTGCCAGGTGTTTTCCTAATGAATACACGCTAACAAGCAGAACCTGCAACAAAATGGGGCAGTGTATTCCCTCTCCTAAATAAGTGCTCCTGTCCTAGGTTCCAGCCAAGCAAAATGTTCCCCAACATATTGCAGTTTCAATTTGCCACTTCATATTCTATAGCTACCAAGCATGCTAGGTTCCAAAGCTAATATGCACTGGCTCCTTCCCAATTAATTTTCCAGCCCAGTTCAGATTATTTAAACCACTGGATTATCTACAATACTTTTGCCCAAAACTTCAGATCCTCCTCAGGGGCCTTCTCCCAAAGTGAGTTATAAGAGATACACCTACTGTACCTGGTGGTGTTACTCTGCAGAGCTCTCATCACAATTTTTAGATGCCATATGCAGGTCATTGTATTTAATGTTATCATGATATTAAATAATTTCCAAGTGCCAGAGTTTATTTCATTTTGCTATTGATGGTAATATTTATGTTGTCGCTGCTTGATTAATTGACATTACATTTGACCTAAAGATAACAGCCAAATTTGCAAATTGACTGAAGGTTTTATTTCCTACAGGTCCAGAACACACAGTGCGGTTTGTTCCTCAGCTTTATGAATGAAAGACCAGGTCTCTGACAGCTGCATTTTGAAGCTAAAATACAACCATCCAAACTGGGTCAAATTGCCTAGTTAATTATATCAGCTAGTGTGGAAGATAATCAGCCTTTAATTCAGTACAACCTTAGAACAAACAGGTGTAGGGGACTTGGAATGAAGAATCCTAGGAGAGAATATTACTATCTAACTGGAGCTGAACAGAGGAATATATATGGTAACATTCTGTGGCAGGTCCTGCTTTTCAATTGTCTTTCAAAAAAATACACTTTCACTTGTTTGATCCTATTTTCTTGGATTTAGGATGCTCTTTCACAGGTAGTCTTTCTTCTCATAATTTCTAAATGAAATTCTCCACAAAAGGAAGCACTGACATCTGAAAGGAATGTTCTAATGTTTCTTGTGTCAACATACCTTGCCCTTTCCTTTACAGGATTGGCACATGATGGCACCACGCCCATTGCAGTTTCGGCAATTCTGAAAGTAAAGCAAAGGACACAAAACTAAACCATTGGAAAGGCTCTGATGTCAGGATAGCCCTACTTCACTTGAGAATTACTGTTCCCAAGCCTTAATTTTATTAATTTTCTTAAAATAATGGGAAACTTCAGCAAGCAGGATAATTTTGCCCATAATTTTTTTCTTTTGACATCCATGTGGTTATTCCATTTTATCATGCCTTAGTTTTTTTCCAACTGTATCTTTCCATCTATAAATACAGTACATGAAAAGTTCAAATTGAAAAATATTTCTTTTTCCTCTCATGATAGAATTTTAAAGTGCTGTCAGTATGATCTTCATTTAGTTTGTTTGTCTTTTTCAATGGGAGTCTTGTGGATACCTATACCAATGTAATAAAAAGAGAAAAATCCACTCCCCAAAAATGATTTCAGAAAGCTATTGTCCCCTGAACTGGGTAAATCATAATTTCCATTTAAAATCCCAGAAATTCTATAATAAAAGTAATTGTAAAGATCTCAAGACTATTAACAGCACGAAATTTGATATGGTTCATATTGAAACAGATGTTTAAAGTTTATCCAGATTTCACAATTTGTAGAAGGGGCAAAAGACAGCATTTAGTACCATGTAGCTAATTAGAATTAAGTAGGTTTAACTTAGATCTTTAAAATGGAGATGGTATTAGCATAAGCAAGACTTTATAAACTAGTAGAGACCTTCCTTGCCAAATACGAATGCTGTTTTTTTAAAGGTTATCTACTAAAATATTATCTTTGGGTTTCAAACTGCAAAACCCACTTTCGCTACCAAGATCAGAAACCAGAGAGTGAAACAGCTAATACCACATTAGAGATAGTAGTTCATTTCAAAGAACTTAAAGTAACCAATTTTAAAAAAGCAAATAATCAAATAGATCAGTGATTCTCAACCTTTTTGAAGCTGCTGCCCCCCTAAGGAGTGGAAAAATTTTCAACGCCACCCTTTGTGAAAATCCTGTAATTTAGGGTATGGGGGGGGGGG